TCGATTTGCGCTGTTTCCCCTACTTTATTAACCTTTCGGCTAACAGCTTTTTTCGGTTTTTCCCCTCCTTTTCGGAGGTCTTAGTTGTAGCTGGTGGCTCCGTTTTACTTGCTTCCTTCAGCACCGCTCACCTTAATGTACTGGAGCACTCTTCCGCCAGAGAAACGCAGTGGCTACATATCCATTTCAGGGCTGGATATTTCCTGTGAAGCAAATAATCCTTNGTCAGAGTTTAGTACTATGAAATATCTTGCGATATTTCACGGGTTAAGCAAAACACGGTAAAAATTGGTAACTATAATGTGAAATATCTACAGATATTTCACTTTAGCTTGACCAAAGTACTTAAAACCGAGTGCACTTTATAAATTCAAACCGCGCGCTAGGGTACGAACCGTTCAAAGCGAAAGGTACTTGATCTAAGCCACACATCCCGGGCCCCGACCTGACCTAGTTTGACCTGAAAATGTCGGTTGAACAAGCCCCATAACCTTACCACAAATGATGTGATACTGCACCACAATATTCTTCCTTTCAGAAAAATTGCATATCGAGGTGTTGGAAGTCAATGAAACTCGCAGACCACACACGAATCTGGACACTAGATTGGTAAGAGCCACAAATTGTCCTGTGAGAACTGAGCTGATCTGCACTGAGATTTTGTAGGCTGCGTAATATTGACAGCCGTTGTTCCCTGCTTTCTATTTTCGAATAACCTATCTCTTCAGAAAAGGAAGGGTGTTCCTGACGAAGAAGTCTTGAAGTCTTGCTGTCATCCTCGGGTTCGAGGCTAGCGCCCAAAGGTCCCGGATCCCGGATCGGCTGTGATTAAACGGTCGACCATGCGTCGAAGCTCCGGAAGAACGTTGGTTCCGGCTGAAGCAAGAATCTGGACGCTCAGTTGGCGAAAGCCTTTACCTGTCAAAAGTCAGTTCTTAGGGAAATACTCTCGATATATTTTCTCCAGTCTACTGGACACGAACCACATTTGGTAACCTGAAGTGGCATTCCGTGTCGTGCGAAATGAACGTGCAGTTTATCAATGATCTCCGCCGATGTGCTGGATCGCAGTAAACCAACTTCGAAAAGGTCGCTGTAGTAGTCAACGGTTATCAAGTAGGTGTCTTTTCCGTGATAAAAAATATCCAGCGCTATCATCTACCATGGTTTATCTGGTATTGCACGCATATTCATCGGTTTGTCGCTGATCAAACTTCCTTCAGATTTCACATTTAGCAATCAACTGTTTTATCTGTTCTGACACCCGGCCAACAATATGTCTCCCTGGCGCGGCTGAGGCATCCGTTGATACCGGCGTGAGAGCAATGTATCAAACGTACTGCGTTTTGTTGAATGGCTTTTAGCACGACCAACCTTTCACCACGAAAAATCAGTTCATCGTGCACAGTTAATTCATCTCGGAATTTGAAGTAGGGTAGTAGGTCCATCAGAAGGGCTTTTTTGCTTTCTGGCCAAACAAGAATGATAACTCCTTTGAGTTCTTGCATGCTCGGATCGTCAATAGTTGCAGTTCGTATGTGAGACTTCACGAACTGCGTCACCGCCAATGCAACGTTCACGGATTCCAGCTTTTGTTCCTGTTCTGTGTCGGGTAGTGTGGCTCGTGACAACGTGTCCTCTACAAACATGCGTTTACCTTGTTGATAATGCAGTTCATAATTGTATTCCAACATAAACCGTTCTGTGGAACCTGACCTCATCTGACCTGGAGCGGGACAAGAAGGCCCTAGAGGTGGTCCAACGCAGTTTCACAAAGTGCTTCCCCCACCTTAGGGGGCAAGACTACCCAACTCATCTGTTTATACTGAACCTAATCCCCTGAAGAGGAGACGCCTCAGGGGTGATCAGAATACAGCCTTTAGGAGTATAAAAGGCAATAATGACAAGGGGGCTCCACTGTTCACTGCCAACGATAACGTGGAATTACGTGTGCACTCTTAGAAATCGGCGAACGAGAGTGTAAAGACCAAAACACGATTGTCCTGGTCCGAGCGAAATAAAAAGGACCTCGTCTGTATGCGTTCAATCAAATGATCCTTCGCTCGTTCTGGATAGCGATAAACAAATCTCAGAGCAGAGCGTAGCCCAAATTATCGAGAACCAAGTCGATCGAAAAATAGTCTACGGTTACAGTTTGGCATGAATAATAAAATACATAAGGCAGTCATACCTCTGACAGTAAGCCCGATTCACTAACCAGCCAAAATGTTAAAATTATTCACAGAAAATATCTGCATTGATAGAAAGTAAATAAGAAAATGAGTGATTTGACCTACCTTTCAGATAATTCTGGACCAACAGGAAAATTCTGCACGCTTCAACAGATCAAGCAAAATAATCTTGAGCGTTACAGCCAAAAGGAGTTCAATATAACCGAAAGCAACGGTTAGTTCAACAACGAGCGTCCAATCGAGCCTGGAGCCCTCTGATATTGCCAATTGAACAGTCGAAAATCTCGTTCGCATCTCAGTCTGACCGTCATCCAGAAACACGAAGAGAAGGATCAAGAACTTCTGCAGTCCAAGCACAGTGGGATGACATCGGAGCTCAGAAGTACAAGGAACTGGATGCATTGGCAACAGCCGCAAGTCATGCGTACCCGACCTGACCTGACCTAAACTTTCTCTAATTTCAGGGACCGTCTTCCGACGTAGACGAGGACAACAAACTGCTGCAGTTTACGACGGATGTTACGAGAGGCTCACTTAACCTTCTTGTAATGAGCAATTTTAACGCTGCTGAGATAAACTGGTAAACCTGGGTGGCTCCAGGAGGGTCATTTGAGGACCGTCTGACTTCTGCGCTCTACGAGCATGCAGTGATGCAGCACGTAGATCGGGAAACCAGATGGAGAGCTGGCCAGGCTGGGTTGAAATTAAACCTAACCATAACAAGGTGCCCAAACGATATCAACAGGATTGAAATGGAAGCACCGTTAGGGAAAAGTAACCATGCGGTGGTTTGCCTATCGTTCTTCCTAGAAGGGGCCCGGGTGGCCGACAAGAGGGGAAGGAGCTTCAGCGGAATAAACCAAGAAGAACTTATTGGAAAAGTGTCGTTCTTGAACTGGACGGCGGAACCAAGCTCCGTTCAGGTTCTATGGAGGGTGATTAGGCGGAACCTAATAGACCTCACCAATGAAGTTGCACCTATCCGGAGACTCAGGAAGGCTGGAACTCCACCGTGGTAATGATCTCGTGCGTGCGAAGCAAACAATAAAAAGCAAGAGGCCTGGAAGTGATACGCGGCCAGAGGTGGCCACCGCAGTCTCTTGCAGTACCCAGCGGCTAGAAAGAAAGCCACTAGAGTAAAAAGGGAATGTAAGCAAGCATATGAGGTGAGACTGGCTAAAGACGCCAAAACAAGCCCCAAGGCATACTTCGGGTACGTGCAGTCGAAGAAACGCCTATGCAGTGGGGAGGGGGGCGTGAGAGGTGAAAAAGGGACAGAGGCGAACACTGACTACGAAAAGGCAGAAGTAAAGAAAATATTTTTCAGCAGGTTTACAGGACAGACAATGGGTTACTCTGCTCAAACTATCCGAGAGATATACCAGCACTGTATGATCACCCAGTTTAGGGTTAAGAAATCGAACGAAGTATCCCTCAGTTGGTTAAGCACTAGGCAGCTGGACCGGACGGCATCCATCCGGTCATCATGAAACCACTAGCCTCTACAGTAGCAGGTTCGCCAGTGAAGCTCTTCAATGCTTCGCTAGAAACCGGAATCTTACCGGAGGAGTGGATGCACACTATCATCACGCTTATATACAAGGGTGGAGATAAAAGCGTAGAGGAAAATACAGGCCTGTTAGCCTAACTTCCGTGGTGGTGAAGGTGATGGAGAGAGTGATCCGGTACCGAATAGTTGACCACCTAGAAAGACACGGACTGGTTGTGACGGTTTTCGAAAGCTTTTGTACAAAATACTTTTTTTAAGTTCATTATCTTTCTTTTCTTATATCTTCTTTCTCTTTCATGAACTCAACGTTTAAGAGTTGTTTTAACCGGCCTCCTCATTACCCGCTCGGTATCTTTGCGGTCTCGCTCCGTGATTTGCCCTATTGTTTGTCGTTCTGTAACTGGCACCTACGACGGTTTCGTAAGTCGCAAATATGTATTGATGTATGCCTACAATGGAAACGAAATTTCAACTGTCGTTCAGTTGTTTTCCTACGTGCTGGAAAATTGGTCGGTCGAGGTCAAGACGTTGCTATTCGTATTGAACGTTGTTCAGATTGCCATTACACTGGTTGCTGAAGAACAGCATGGGTTCCTGTATAACAGGTCGTGCTTATCAAACCTACTATGCTACTTGGAGGAAGTGACGAAGATAATCGCCGGGGGAGAAAAGGTTGACGTAATTTAATTCGATTTCTAGAAGGCTTTGATTCAGTAAACCATCGATTATTGTTATCCAAGCTCCATTGGTTCGGCTTAGTGGCGTGGATCATGGCAAGCCTGCTTAGAAGGACATTCGTGGTGCCCGCCGGAGAGGAAGTGTCAGAGGAAGGGCACATGCATAGTGGGGTACCTCAACGGTCAGTCCTCGGGCCCCTACCATACCTACTCTATGTAGATGGATCGATCAGAACTTGGGAAACCCGTGCTTTAAGTTCGCTGATAACGTAAAAAACATTGACCCGGTTAACGTATTGGTGCAAAATGACCTGGACAGGGTCCAGCGATGGGCAACCGAGTGGGACTTACCACTCAACGTGCACAAATGCGTCCACATAGTGGCTGCAGCCACCGAGCACACTGTGCTGTTCTACCGCTGTACCAACAAGAGCCGCCACCAAGGACCTTGGAGTGGCAATCCAATTGGACTTCCAGCCTCCAGCGCAGTGCGAAAAGGCTGCCCTAACAGCATCAAGAGCTCATTATCAGCTGCGTCGAGTAGTGATCTCAGGTAAAACAGAGGTACTTTTTCCACTGTACTAAGCAATTGTCCGGCAGCATTTAGAATATTTTATGTAGGTCATGAGACCCGACCTGGTCAGTTACATAAAGGTTCTAGAGCAGGTCCAGAGGCAGTTCACAAGGTGACTCCCTGACCTCACGGGGAGAGCATAGGAGAAAAGACTGCATCAATTGAATCTGTTCTCTCTCGAACGGAGAAGAAGGAGAGGGGATCTCATATAGGCATTCAAACTCCTCAAAGGCTTTCTCAGCATAAACGAGCGACCGCTACTGCAACTCAGTGAACATTAAAACTTGAGAGGTCACAGCCTCAAGTTAAAAATTAACCATGTCAGCACCAGACTCCGAGCACAGTTCTTTACGGAAAGAGTGGTAAACTATTGGAACAAACTTCCAGAGGAGGTGATAGAGACGAAGTCAGTCATGAGCTTCAAACACCGACTTGATGGCGTTTGGGAACAAGTATTTGAGTCGAGCGTAACTAACTGACTAGGCCACCGAGCGGTATCGTAGTGAAGGTACTCAGCTGACAGGTACCCTCTTTCTTCTTTTTTAAATTTTATCCCCTCCTAATCTCAACAGAACGGATGATGTAGGCATGCATGCATGTTTGTGTGTATAAACTCGTAAGAACTGGAAAAGACCTGAAGGTCCCGGGTGGATGAACAGCAGACTGCTCGGTTGTGCGATAACCAAAAAATCACCTTGATACAGGGTAGGCGGGCAACGGGCTCAGGCGGACACATGCTCAGGGTAAGTACTTGAGTGCAGGCAAACTAGATAACTGGAATCGTGGCTTCAGGGAGTATAAAACAGGTCGTTTCATGTTTTCACCATTCCCACTTGTTCTCTGTACTATTGACTTTTCCTCTCTTCCTTCTCGATTCATCAAGAAACCCTACATATTTATCGACCAATTTATACAGGACGATCCGAAGGAAACCATCACACCCCCAACCGAGAGAGATAGGTGGCGACGACTCCTAGGGTTGGTACAGTAAGACGCACCCTAAATTGTACCGGTCGCAGGAGCAAATGGTGTCGCTCAGTTGCAAAGCACACCTGCAAACAGGAGAAGAACCAAAAATAATTGGTTCATATGGGTGAACTGAAATGGCGTTTGCTATGCTGCCTCAAAAGAACGGGCACGTGTTTTTACACTACATTTGATGGTTATAGTATCATATGAACCCTGAGCGCAATGCCAACGGGGTAACGTTTTTCCATCCTAGCTAAAGAGTGTTGCCGAGTAAGTCAAATCTCTCTTGATCGAGGGGTGGCCGGTTGCGGGTTTGATTCTTGTCCCGGCATCTCTCATTTCACTCTATGACGAATGCTGATCAAGTATGAATGACTACTGGACTGTTGTTGTGATCAGGGTCCCATGAATACTCTTCCGTCAACCTACAACTGATCCACCCCGAAAACCCAGATTTCTGCCCCACCGCATGGGAGACTTAAACCCTAGATAGCGAGGATTTGAGACCTGATTGGATTACGCATACCCTGTTTATGACATACCGTGAGTGTAGTCAGATCGTTCGCCAAGCATTCAGCGTCGTACCGTCGTTCTCGTTATAGGAACAGTAAGGATGTTACCAGTATACAACAATATGTGCACAAGACTGCATGCATGTATGCAAGTATGGATGTGTGCATGTTTGCGTACGACTGAACGTATTCGTGGCTGTAGGTACAGGCACGTCGGGTGGTGTGAAAAATATGACACGCAATTACGGGCGATGGTAATCAAGAGTAAGCTAAGTTGACTGGAGTCC